CTAGATGGTCACAAAGCACCAAGCTGATCTCCCTGTGCTATGCGGCTGCTTCCCACTAGCTATCTGTTTTACGTTTGGTAGTGTATATATGTCCATGCCACTCTCTCGCTTTGTCACAGCTTACCCTTCCCCCTCCCCATATCGTCAAGTCCATTCTCTAGTAGGTCTGTGTCTTTATTCCTGTCAATATGCAATTTTAATTGTAGTTGCATTGGATTTAGAGGCAAAGTTGGGGAAAATTATCATATAAGTCTTCTCCTTCACAGAAAGCTAAATAGCTCTCCATTTATTTAGTCATCTTCTTGAATGATGATTATCAATAACATTTTATCTTCTAACCCCTTAAAAATCTTAAACATCTTTTGTTAAAATTTGTTTCTAAGGACTCTATAGTTAAAATAACATTTTAAAATTGTTTGTTTCTGGTTATTCAATTTAATTTTTGGAAATTTACTAGCAACCTTGCGGAACTCTTATAGTTTTAACCTGGATCCATTTTTATGTCTATTTCTCAGGTTGGGGGTTCCCCTGGGTTTGACTTTTCATTCTGCCTCTAAGCCCACAGTTTTCTGTCTGTTCACTGTTTCCCTCAGGCACTCCGTCACTAAGGGGACAGCCTTTGAAAGGTCTCTGTGTTGGCAACCATTCTATCATAGTTCCAGCTCTTTGCTTCACAGAGCTTAAAGGCTCCCCTTCCATCCCGACTGTGGGTGTGAAAACCCAAACTAAGTTACGGGACTGTTGCTTATCCTCTCTCCCCACTTCACTCAGGGACAGCAGCTCCAGCACTTAGCCCTCTAATTTTCAGTTTCCTATTTATTTGGGATACTTGGGGGATTTCCCTTTCTTTTCTGCAGGTTCAGTTGTGCTTTTGGAAATGTTTTGTTACATGTTATCTGACATTAACAGGCATTTGTAGTAGGAGGACTGTTTTCTTCCACCATCTTCCCAGAATCAGAACTCTGTCATTAGTTTTAATAATACATTTCCTGCAGTTTTAATTTTCACTAAACTTTTTCTATATGTGTGTTATCTTTGGTGTGCTAGACTTTATATGTACACTATCTTATTAGTGCCTTTTGGAAAGTGTGTTTTATTTTAAGAAATCTGTTTCTTAGTTTATTAAATCACTTGAATGATAAATTCAAATAAGTTAATAAGTTTAAAAGAATTGTGGAAATTTTAATGGCTGTTAGTTACTAATAGAAGTGCTTTATAATCATTGTTAATTCTTCTTTCTCCCTAGATTCTCTGCCTTGTAAATGTTAGTCACAATGGTGTGAGTGAATCAGAATTGATGGAATTCTATCCTGAGCTATCCTGGGCTGTCTTGACCTCCCTTATTCACAGTTTACATAAAATGTGTTTGTTGACTTATGGTTGTGGTTTGCTCAAGTTTCAACATCTACAGGTAAATGTTATCTTAATAAGGTTTTTTCACTTATTGAAATGTCCACATATCATCGCATATGTATTATGCTATATAATACCACATCATCTCAAATATTTCAATTACAAGACAAAATTGAAATCTCAAATTTGGCATTACAAAAATTTTTTCCAGTGATTTTAGGTTAGATAAAAAATTTGGTTAATATTATTCTTATGAAGTAAGTACGTTTGTGAAATGGCTATTACTTTAGAAGGTAGTTTTTTCAATTTTATATTTCATTGAATTGCTGGTATATTATATATGTTTTAAGAACTTGGGCTCTGTAAGTCACTCTGCCTCAATTCACAGCCCAGCTCTTCACAGCTTAATGTAACCTTGGGCAAGTTCTCTGAGCCTTGGGCAGATGTTTGCAGCTTTCCTCAGGGGTTGTAAAGATAATTAATTGAGGTGGTAAATAATTAATTGATCCTGATAAGGTCCTAGCCATGATGTCTAGCACATAGTAAATAATGACTAATATAACTTTTTTTTTTCCATATTCTAGTTTGCATCTGCTAATACCAAACTCCCGATCCTTCCCTCCCCCACCACCCTTCCCTTTGGAAACCACAAATCTGTTTTCTGTGTCTGTGAATCTGTTTCTGTTTCACAGATATGTTCATTTTTGTCATATTTTAGATTCCACATACAGTATTTGTCTTTCTCTTTCTGACTTACTTCACTTAGTATGATAATCACTAGGTCCATCCATGCTGCAAATGGCATTATTTCATTCTTTTTCATGAATGTCCATCTGTCAATGGACATTTAGATTTTTTCCATGTCTTGGCTATTGTAAATAGTGCTATTGTGAACATAGGGGTGCATATATCTTTTTGAATTATAGTTTTGTCTAGAAATATGCCTAGGAGTGAGATTGCTGGATCATATGATAATTCTATTTTAGTTTTTTAAGGAACCTCCATACTGTTTTCTATAGTAGCTGTACCAACTTACATTCTCACCAACAGTGTAGGAGGGTTCCCTTTTCTCCACATCCTCTCCAGCATTTGTTATTTGTAGAC